TTGGCAAACCACGTCTCAACCAAGCTGCAGCGCTGGGTCTGCGTGGGTCTTCTGCAAACTGGGAGGATCAGCTGCGACGATATGGAGGGAGGTTGATCCAAAGAGCCCTCAGCTTACATTCCCTTTGTCGGTTTGTTGGTGGGTGCACGGGCTGAGTGCTCAGTTTGAGGCAGGGGTTCTGTTGAAGCTTCCACAACTCACAGTGGTGAGCGCGGCAGCTATGCCGTGCTCCCGGTCATTGGTTGCAGTACTGCAGTTTCATGCGCAGATAATCGGTGTGCATCATTCCATGGTCGTTTCCGCATGGTCCTCGAGGTTTCAGCGCTTTTACTTCTGCAAGTCATTTGCAGAGTATGATGCGCAGACCTTGGGGGGAAGTTTAAGAGGCAAGTTTGTGTTTTTGACGAGTATTTTTGAGACGATGCTTTCGTGAGGTCCGCTCCCTTGCTGCAGCGGCTCTAATGCTGGCCAGCAAGTTGCCTTGCCACACTTGGGGAGACGCTTGTGTCATTTTGTCATTCGTATTGGCAACGTCCGGGACGTGTTGCGCAGCCACTGCTCGAGTGGTTCTTGGCAGGTTGGAGGAGCATCCTCGCAAGCTAGTCGAGGCCTATTGGGAGTGTTTCGCTATGTTCCGACACCACGCAGTTCAAACTGCTTGTCCATGAAGGTGATCCAGGTATGCTACAGACTGAAGATGCGGGAGCTCAAGGCAGCGGCTTGGGCTGTGCCGTGTTGTGCGTGTTATGGAGCGTTTGGCACTACGCAGCGCTGTGCAGCGCTGTGAAGCGCTGTGCAGGAGGATGGCGCCCCTGTCTACGAGGGCAAGCCGCTGCCTGGCGTGTTTGGATTAGACGATGTGCCGCATGCCAATGCTCTCCAGCTGTCCCGAGCTTTGGCATGCTCCTCCTCCTCCGAGCTTCGGCACGCTCCAACGTGTTCCTTTATTGTTGCGTCGGTTGGACTCGTTGAGGACTCCCCAGCTCGATCCGAACAAGCGTGAGTCAGGGCCTTGCACACAGGAGCACGTCTGCACCTGCACTTCATTGCATGTCACTGAACTTCACTGCACTTCAAGGCAGTTCTGCTTCTGGGCTGTGCCCAGGTACCACGACGAGAAGAAAGAAGTCGTCCTCGGAGAGCGCAGGATCCTGCGGGAGCTTGGCTTTGAGGCCTAAAATGGGGATGCCTTATCTTGAAAGGTGCCTTTTCTCAGCCTTGGAACCCCCCCCCCCCCCCCCCCCGAGGTGGCACTGCTCCTGGACCACCCTCACAGGCGCGTGAAGAATCAAGCACAATGCCTGACCTCATTGCATCCCAATCTCGTGACCACAGTGCTACCATGGGGGCCTTTCGCTGAAGCAGGTATGCCATCGAATTCATCGAGCACCTCAATCGGCCTGACAATCTGGCCCAAAAGGCCTTGTCCACACTGACCATAGCCATAGTCTGCCTCTGAGCGAAGGACGTACTGCAAGTTCTAACGGCACGCAGAATGGTTCAGAGGTGGCCAGACACTTGTCGCACGTGGTGTGCTTCACCTTGGTAAGCCCTAGAAACTTCTGAAGAATTAGCCTTGTCCCTGCTTACTTCTACATACTGCATGCGGTGCACAGCTGGTATCGAACTGATGAAACTAGCTGTAGCTAGTCAGATGCGCAGGTGCATGCACATAGTCCAGAACTGGTGCAGATGTTGTGAGGAAGCTTCTACATGCGGCATCGCTGTGATTAAACAGTAGTACTTGCCTGATGTTTTCCGCCTGTCCGTGGTTTGTCTCGCCATATTTGCATCGCTATTGCCCTCGAATGTATCTTCACCAAAGTTGTGTTCCAGTGGGCAGGTGTGGAACCTTCTGAACGACTCGATTCAGACGAGTCTGTGCTGCTCGCCAAGAGCCTAGACTACTAGATTGTCCGCAGTGTCTACGCATCCAATCACAAATCTCGACTCACAAACAACTGAGAGCCGGTCTTGGAGGCACCAGCCCCAGGACATTGCTGGGGCCTGCCTCCTCCTCGGAGCACGGGAGCTGAACTTGACGCTGCCGCCGGGAGCCCAGTGGGACGAGAGATCGCTGCCATGATCATGTCAATTGGCGAGTTGGGATGAGGGAGGTAGGCCATGGCATAGCGCTCCAATGCGCAGCCTAGGTCAAAGCCTCCCTGGTAGCAAGCTCAGAAGAGCGGAATATTGTGTGTGTGTGTGTGTGTGTGTCCAACCCTGTAACCAAGGGTTCAACAGTCGACCTCATTTCTTTTGAGCAGGGGGCACAAGCCCAGGATGATGACTTGTGCCAACGAAGCTAGTCATCCTGGGGGATACCAGACCTGATCAGTCTGGCGTACCTGCAAATGGCAGACAGGACCCAATCTGCCGATACAAATTCCTTTTTCATAGTTTTCTTCAATGTCAACGCCAGTTTGAAACATCAGAGGTATTCAGGAGCAAGATGTACTTCAGTGACAGCAGGCCTAGCCTGTCTAAGCTGATGTGGCTCGCAGATCAGAGGTACCAGCATTGGCTGTCAGGAAGGTTGCTTGAGTGTGTTCCAGGCAGTGTAGGGCTTGTCCCTACGTCTTTCAGAGTGCTGCCTGCGGCGGGGTGGCCCGTGCAGTATCCTGCAGATTTTGTCACGACGAAGCAGGGACCCATCCTGCAGACTTGGATGATGTGCAGGGCCGTGGATGATGCTTGCTGTATTCAGGCGCAAATCAGAGGTCTTTATGACTTACCCTCCTGCAGCCATCAGGTGTTGACGTTTTTTCGAGTAGTGTAGACCCCGTCCTTTGTTCTCCAAGCATGTCTTGGTCTGGAAAGAACTGGAACTCGCAACAGCAGCAGCCGCGTGAGTGGCAAAGAAGTTCTTGGTACGACAGTTGGCAACAGGAGTGGAATGTGTCGGAGTCCTCGGGTAAGGTTCCAACTGCTCCCGTCAAGATTCCGTCCAATTTCAACCCTGACTCGGAATGCTACGATCAGAACTCAGTGAGCGGGATGCGTTTTTTCCGCAAGGTGCAAAGCACCCCATGGTCCGTCAAGCAAGGTCTGGCAGGAAGGGACATAGCTGAGCTACGCCTCACAGATATGACCCACCGCGACTTGGATGAATATGCCTTGCGCGCATTGTCCAACGGGCAGTTTCAAGGAATGATCTTTGCCAAAAATGTCAGTGAAGTTGTTCTGGTCACCAATTTCTTGAGGCTTTGTCGCCAAGAGAAGTTGGATTTTGATCGGATAGCCGATGCTATGCATCAGGGCACTCCCCCTGATCGCCACAAAGACTCTTTCAAGTACATGCAACCGGTGCTCCATGAGTTGCTTAAGACTTTGAAGGCCCTCGCGCCAGCGCCGCCTGTTGAAACCAACCCTGCAATTTCAGCAGCGGACAGTTCTGAGCTCGCTCGTGCGAAGCGCAAACTTGCAGAAGCTGGAATTGCTTTGACACCTCCCAAGAAGAGACGCGATGCAGATGCTTCCGAGCACAATGCAGCGCCGTCTTCCAGCGGTCTGCCCACTGTGGAGGATCCAGCCACCCAAATTTTGAAGACGAAGCTGGCCAAGCCGTTGCATGATTTCCCTACAGCTGCAAGCAATGCTGCGTTCGAAACGTGGCTGGACAAGCATCGCAAGCAGTTCAAGGGCCAAGCCCAGCAGTTTAAGACCCATGTGGCAAAGGTCTCGGCAACACTTCAGCAGGGGAAACTTGCTAAGCAAGACTTTGTAGATGCTGCTGAAGAGTATGGACTCGATGCCAAAATGGCTAGTCGTATGTCCATCAAGAATCTCACGACTTTCATTGCAGCGTGCCAGTTTCAAGCAGCTTGACTAGCTTGCCAAGCAAAGTCACTGCGTCAACAGTCCGTTCAATGCAGGCACAACCTGTTGTGGTCTGTTTTGACCCTCGCATCCGCTGCAGTCTTCATGCTAGAACATGGAGATGGCATACAAAAAGGCCCACTCATTTGGGTGCACGCGTTGATGTGTTTGATGTTGTTGTTTCATTTCAGTGCGCCCGAGCGTCAGTGGCAGTTTACTTCTCACGCAGGCAGGATTCGACAGAAACTCCGAGCTTTCAACGTTCATCCTGACACCCTGCACTTTTCGTCCTTTGAAAAGGCGAACACAGTGTATTGCTTGTTTCAAATGGACATCAAAAAGGCCCTTCAAAGTTCATCAGGCTTGTATTCTCACAAGTCTTCACTGTTGTACATTGGCAGTACAGCAAAAGGCGTCAATGCCAGACATTTGAACCGTATGGCAGTATATCGCCGTCTTTTTAAGACACAGTTGGTGGACGCAGAGCTGGCAGTGCGATATTGGCACTCACAGAAAAACCTTTTTGACTTCTGTGTTGTGCCA